GGAGGAGAGACAGAGAAGGTGGGGATGTTGTGAGGACAGCGGAGAAGTGGACAGAATGGAAAGAGGGAGATGGCGAGAGGCCAGAGTGAAGAGCAAGGGAAGAGTGGCGAGGGGACGGCGAGGGAGGGAGAGACACGAAGGAGTAAGGAAGGAAGAGAGGATGGCGGCGGAGTAACGGGGAGAAGATCGGAAAAGACCAGCCGGTCTGGACTCCCGCGGCACCTGCGACAAAACCTTGCCCTCCGCCCCCCAGCGAGGCCCAAACTGCACTCGCGCGGCTTGCGGGGGCCGCGCGACTGTCTTTTGGGGCTCGCCCGGGGCGGATCCCCGAATGAAAATTTCGAATGTGTGGACCCGGAGCTCGTCACGGTAGGGTATCATTTGGGCGCGCCCCACACCGGAGGCTTCCGTGACGACCCCCCCCGGGACCCCCGCCCGTCTGTCTTGTTTCCCGACTTGCGCCTAAACCGGAGGCTTCCGCGACGAGCTCGGGGGGGCCCCGGGCGCAACCTAAACCGGAGGCTTCCGTGACGAGGGGGCGCCCAAACCGGAGGCTACCGCGACGACCCCCCCCCCGGAGGTTTCCTGGTCGGGGGCCCTCGGGGGGGCCCTCTCGGGGCCCTCCAGGCCTTCCAATGCAATCTCGGAGGGCCTCAAGAGGGCTCCAAGAGAGCCTCAGGAGGGCCTCAAAATTTCAAATATATTGACAAACTTTAAAGCTCTCTTGGAACCGTCTTGAGCCCGCTTGAAGCCCTCCGGATCGCACTGGAAGGCCCTGGAGGGCCCGGGCAATGCTCCAAGAGGGCCTCTAGAGGGCCTCAAGACGGCCCTCAGCGAGCCCCACGAGGGCCCCAAGGGGGCCCAAGAGATGCCCGAGAGGGCCTCTTGTGCACGACCACTTGCGTATATGAACACTGCTGTCCATGACCACTCTCGCATTTAACTGCTATTGTATATCACCCCTCCCTCCTGGCTCATCCCTTCACCCTCATCGATCCTCCTGATGATCAGGGCAAGTCGCCTGGTGATTTTTTAGACGGGCTGGTGGGGGTACGCGGAGCGCCAACAATTTCTGGAAGCCTGCCTGAGGGCTCAAGGGAGCCCCAAGTGGGCCCCGTGAGGCCCACAAGAGGACCTCGGGAGAGCCCCGCCTGGACCCCAAGAATATCCAAAGTTAGGACGCGCGCTGCATCCTGATTCAGGAATGTCTCGGGGTCCACTTGATGCCCCGTGGGGGCATTCTCCGGGACTTCCTGAAACCCGCCCAAAGCCGGAGGGAGCCCGTGTTGCCGAGAACTCGCTAATACGGCTTTAACAAAATCTAGTTACCCCCCAAGAGGGCCCAAATCCAATATTCAAAATGCCTTTTGGCTCTGGGCCATCTGGGGATCCATCCGGGGCCCTCCTGGAGCCCCCCTGGGGGTCTCCCCAGGGCCCACCCACAGCCCCCTCGAATCCATTGAGGGCCCCAAAGAACGCCCCAGAGGGCACCCATCAGAAGGGGTCCAAATACATGTATGTTTGGAGGGCCCGCATCAGGATGCATGGTGCAACATGAGTTTGGGCCGTTGCGTGGGCCACGCCGGTGCCCTCTTGGAGCCGTCTTGGGCCGCGCTGGGGCTGTCCTGAAGCCCCGAGGATGCCCCGAGAGAGCCCCGAGAGAGTCCCGAGGAAGCTCCTGCAAGCGACATTTGCATGCACACTTTTACGTCGTATTGTTTCCGCGTGCTCCCTTGAAGCAAGAGGGTAAGGTTTTCCTCGATGCGGCATGCATTGCCGTTTGCCCCACGGCGCGGCGTCGTGCTCAACAACAACGTCCCCCGCCATGCCATTGCGGTTGCATGATGCACCGTGCACCTTCACCTGGGGCCCACTGGGGGTCGGCTTGGAGCCCTCTCGGAGCTCTTTTGGGGGCCTCAGAAGACCTTTTTGTCGGAGCCTCGTTGCGGCTTCGGGGGGGGGGCCTCGCCCAGCTCGCTCGAGGGAAACCGCGAGCTCCGGAGTCAGACCGCCAGCATCAATCGTCTGGCAGCCCCCGCATATCCTAACATTCTCGGTAACCTAGGAAAGCGGGGCCCCGGGCGTCAGCCGAAATCGACGGCGAGTTGTTGTCAAATCCCTGCAATTTCCGCGAGGGGCCACTGTCGAGCATTGATTCTGAGACAAACACAAAGCGCACGCGAGTGGTTAAGATGATCGAGTCAACAGTAGCACCGAAAAGCGTCAGCGGGCAATCATATGTTTCCTCTAGTTGCGAAGCCGCTCGCGCCCCAAGATGCAGATGCGATGGTGCCGCATCTGAAAACATTGTAGACGCACGCGCAAGAATGGCAGCGACGCTCCCATTGCTCCTTCGCCAACTCCGCCAAACAAGCACGCATTCCGACTCGATCGAGGAAGCTGCGCGGCACACTTGCTGCACTTCATGACTTCTGTTTGCGAATTCCTTTGGGGCGGCGCCGGTCGTGCCCCGAGAGCGCTTCGCGCGTGGGCAATTCATTTTGCTCGAGTCTGCAGCCGACGCACGCGCGGACCGCATTGACCTCGAAAACGCAAAACTCGTTACGCAAGGGTATGGTTTGCTAGGGGTCGGTTTGGCCGCCCCTGAGGCTTGGAGGACGGTCCGGAATCTGCACATAGGCGGTGCCCCCCACGCGTGGGATCTCGTCCCGGGCGAGCTCGGTCCAACAAACGGTTTTTTCTGGTAGGCGTGCCTCCTCCCAGCGCGGGTGCGACGGTGCAGCCGCCTGCCCCCCCCTTTTCGGGGTCAGCTGGGCGAGGATCTGGCTGTGCAGCCCGGGCTGTCTGCGCCTTTGCTGCCTCTGCATGTTCGCCTGTGCCGTTCCGGAACGGCCAGATCTGCGCTGCTTCTGGCAGGCGGCCTTGGAGACAAGCCGCGCAAAACCACCTTGAGCACGTCCGGGCGCCCCACGTGCAAGTCCTGAGCTCGTCCTTCTGGTATGTCACCCCGCACGTCTTGCAAAACGCTGGCCTGGTTGAGCGAGCTTGGACGCTAACACCCGAGCCTCCGCTCTCGGCTGTTGTCGTTGCCGACCTTTCGCTGCTGCTGCGCCCATTGCGGCGGGGTTCACCCCTGCTTCCATGAATGCTGAAAGAAAGATGCGTGTACCCAGGGGTGGCGCGACAAATGTAGAAATAGAGATTTCCGGGCCGCACCCAGCAGTGGTAACGAGCAATTCGGCTGGGCGCGCGCTCGCGCTCGCGCTCGCGCTTGAGCCAACCTTCAGCCAGTCAGACAGACAGACAGACACACACCACACACAGACACAGACACAGACACAGCCACAAACACACACAAACACACACACACACGCACACCCACACACACACACAAACACACGCACACGCACACACATACACGCACACACACATCACACAACACACGCACCACCAACAACAACAGCACAACAACACACATCAACAACACACACATACACAGACGCACACATGCACACACATGCGCGCGCTCACACACACATGCACACACACAAACACACACACACACACACGTGTACCAGGTTGACCTCCCGCCGTCCCAAGGGAGGGATCAAGGATTAGCGCCAGGATTCGAACGGTTCAGGAAAAGTCTCAGAAGTCCACACAACTAAGCCTGCTTTTTCCCCACAGCCCAGATTCGATATTCGAGTGGGTACACAAACGCTTCTGCGACAACAGACACTGAACAGCTGGCCCTTAGTACGACCACCATTACTATTCTTACCTCTTCACCTTCTACTACTACTACTACTACTACTACGACTACTACTACTACTACTACTACTACTACTACTACTACTACAACTACACCAACTACTACTACTACTACTACTACTACTACTACTACTACGACTACTACGACTACTGCTACTACTACTACTACTACTACGACTACGGCTACGACTACGACTACGACTACGACTACTACTACTACTACTACTACTACTACTACTACCACTACCACTACTACTACTACTACTACTACTACTACTACTACTACTACTACTACTACTACTACTACTACTACTACGACTATGACTACCACTACGACTACGACTACGACTACGACTACTACTACTACTACTACTACTACTACTACTACTACTACGACTACTACTACTACTACTATGACTACTACTGCTACTACTACTGTTACGGCTACTACTGCTATTACTTTTACTGCTTCTTCTGTACTACACCTAATCCGACTCTACTATACTACGAACGGCAAACGAAAGGATACACATCTTACGGGCCGGGTGTCCTACTACTACGGCTACAACCGCTAATTCGAGGGCTGCCTACTACTACGTCTACGACTACTACCACTACTACGACTAGCACTACCAACTACGACAACAGCTACGGCTGGTACCACCACTGATCTTACGAGTGCAAACGGGTACTAGTAACAACTACTACTGCTACTACTACTATTACTACTGCTACTACTGCTACTACTACTACTACTACTATTTCTGCTGCTGCTGCTGCTGCTGCTACTAATGTGTAGTCTTACTTGCACTAATGCGACTGCGAATTCTAATGCTCCCTTTTTCCAGCTCAGGCAGGCCGGGTGGCGAGGCTTCGAGACGCTGCAGGCGCAAGAGGCTGCCGCCAGGGGATCTCCGATCCGCGGGCGGCCACGGACATCAACTGAAATTTCGGACACATCCAGAGACAGAGGGAAAACGAGGGGGGGAGGGGGGGAGCTTGAGCGAAACGTCAACGGAAGATCGCAGACGGGCGGCCAGCAACGCTTCCCAAGGAGCAACCCTGTTCAGAGAACGATTTATGCTCCCTTTTTCCAGCTCAGGCAGGCCAGGTGGCGAGGCTTCGAGACGCTGCAGGCGCAAGAGGCTGCCGCCAGGGGATATCCGATCCGCGGGCGGCCACGGACATCAACTGAAATTTCGGACACATCCAAAATGCTGCAAATTGCACAGCTAAACTGGCTACGCCGAGAATGCATCAATTATTATTCACGAGTCGGAAAGCGCTCGAGCAGCACGGCCTATCAGAGCGGAGAACTGCCCAGCCCGGGACCTGGCCTTCTCATCCGCGTACGCTCTGGCGAGGATGTTGCAGAGCTTTCGAGGATATGCTTCCGCCAACTTGGTGCGGAACCTGCCCGACGCGTCTTTCCCGGACAGCTCCTGATGCCTCTGCCCTGTGAGGACGCAGACGGGCCCCACACACCTGAACTTGGCCAAGGGCGCCAGGTCGAGGAGAAACGCAACGATCTTGGTGCTCTTCCTCCAGGGCGCCCCGAACCGGCAGTACTCGATCACCTGGGACGTGACCTGCCGGCGTTGGAGCAGGGGCAGCATCGGCGGCAGCTGCCACGCGTAGCTCAGCGCGGGGTTCTCGAGGGACCAGGGGACGAAACACTGGCAGCACAGCGCGCAGAAGGATATCGTGAGCCGCGCGTACAAGTTGCCCCACTTCACTTTCTGGAAGTCGGCGCCCCCGACGGGGAGACTGGGCAGGCCCCAGACGTGCTCCTGGGACCGGAGCCGCGGGGGGCCGTTGGGGCGGTCTCGTGCCCGCGAGAAGGTCTCGCAGGGAAAGCCAGCATGCAGGCCGCAGACGAGCCCCGCCCGTATCCAGCCCCGAATGAGGCGGGCGTTCCTGGGGTCGCGCAGGTCGTAGGCGGGGCCGTACAAGATGCCCCAACGCAAGGTGGGGACATTTCCCCGTTCCACGGCGTCGGACAGGTGGCCCGAGCCCGCGAACAGCTCTAGGAACACGGCGATGGTCGGCGCCCTCAGCGGCCCAAAGATGGCATCCGCCTCCCCCGCAGCACGTCGGGGAGCTCCCGAGCGGCCGCCGCGGCCGCCCGCTGCACGTCGGGCGGCAGGCGGCGCAGGAGGTCGGCCAGTCGCCCCCCGTGCTCGTAGCGGCGGAGGCTCCGAGCGGACCGCCACCGCCCGCGGCGCTGGATCTCCTCCAGCCGCCGGGCGCCGGTCGCGAAGTCGACGCTCGCCCCCGTGTGCCGGAAGCGGTAGGCGTCGAGCGGCCCGAGGGGCCCCAGGCGCCAGGCTGCCGCGGCCTCGTCCAGGGCGCGGCGCAGGGCGCTGGGCGACAGATCCAGCAAGGGCCCCTCGCTGCGCTCCAGCCCCAGCTGCACCAGGGCGTCCGCGAGCGCCGCCTGCCGGTCGAGGTCGAGGACGATCGTCTGGTCGAACTCCTGGCTCTTGGACGGGGTCCGCATCTCGAACGGGTGGAGCAGGACCGATGTGGGGGTCCACTCGCGGGCTCCGCTGAAGGCCCCCGCCGCCACGTCACGGCCCCGTAGCAGGAATGGCTCTCCCGGGCGCAGGTACAGCTCCATCATCATGAGGATCGCCAGCGCGTGGGGTCTCAGCCCCTGGCAGATCATCCAGCACGCCAGCAGCGCCACCACGTCGTAGGGCAGGGGCAGGCGGCCCCCCGCTGGGGCAGCACGGCGCCAGCCTCGCAGGCACTGCCGACAGATGGGCATCCGCCCGCCCCCCAGCCTGCCGAGGCGGGGCTCGGCCCACTGCACCGACGCCAGGAGCTTCTCGCCCGCGCTCAACGAGCCGTCCTCCATGAACATGATCTCCATCAAGCCCGCGGTGGCGCTGTCCCACTCCTCCTCGGTGATCGGGTGGTCCCCGCGGGAGTTGCAGAACCTGCGCAGGGCGGCCAGGTAGAGAGAGTACTGGGCCTGCGTCTTCGCCGACACCGAGGCCCTCCGAAGCAAACTCATCTGGGCCTCTGGGGCCCGCGCCGCAGCCAGCCCGGCAGCGCGCTCCGCCCGCGCCCGCGCCGCTGCCGCCCGCGGGCCCCCAGCTTCCAGGGGGGCCAAGGCCGGGCGGGAGGCCGACCCCGAGCTGGGCGGCGGCGGCAGGCGGCCCGCGGGGGTCCTCGACCTGTCGGACCTGCCGCGCGCCAGCATCGCGGCCCTCGTCGGCGGCGGCCGCGAGCTCGCGCCGCAGGCCGGCAAGCGGGTCGCTCGGCGCCGGACGGCCGCGCGACGGCCCGTCCGCAGGGTTGAGCTCCGACGCGATCCAGCGCGACCGCAGGAGGCTGCCGGTCCCCAACAGCAGGGCGCCCAGTCGACGGGTCACCGAGAGCATGCCATCGGAGGAGGACCGCCCCTTCGTGGCGGCCAGGGAGGCGGAGATCGAGTCCCCTATCACGAGCAGCCTCGAGCCCAAGTTGGCGACGGACCTCAGGAGGTGGCGAACCCCGTACAAAAGCGCCTCCGCTTCCAGGGCCGGCATAGACGTCGAGGGCCGTTTCCACCTCTGCCTCCCGCACACCCTCCAGGGGGCCCTCAAGAGGTCCAAGGGGACGTCCTCGAACGGCTTCCGGTGACGGCGGTCGAACTCGCTTTCGGGTCGGTCGTGTCGAGACTGGGGCCGCGCGAGCTCCATCAGGATCCGCCTGTCGGCCTCACCTTCACCCCCGTGCAGCTGCGCAGCGGCCGCGGCGAAAGCGCGCCCACGGGGTGGCCGCCCCTCCCGGGCCGCCTCCCGAGCCCCAGCATGCTCCGAGTGACGGCAGGCCTCCTTGACCAGGGCCACCGGCGGTCGTCCCCGAACGGCCCCAAGGCCCCACGGCGACGCGTCCGCCACGACGACGTCCGGACAGGTACCCGCTGAAGTGTTGACCCAGATGAGCGGGGCGATACGGTCCCAGATGTCGAGCTCCTTTCGTGCTGAGGCCCAGAGGGCCCGAGGCCCCCGGGCTGGGCATCTCCGCGCGGCCTCACAGAACCTGCGACAATATTTGAAGACGCTGAGCGACTCTCGCCTACACAGGCCGATGAAGCACAGATGGCCCAGGAGGCGCTCCAAGTCCCCTCCAGAGACCGAGGCCCGCGCCAAAAGACCCCGAATGGCGAGACGAGCCTTCCAGACACGCTCGGGGGTCGGGCGGAAGGTGCGCCGAAGGCAATCGATTTCCCACCCCAGCACGACGGCCCGATCGCATGAGACAGACTCTTTATGCAGAGGCAACCCGCGAGACTCGAGGGCACGAAACACTCCTGCCAAGCGCTCGCGGACGACCGCTTCGCTCGTCGAAATCACAACATAGTTATCAACGTACTGCGCGCGAGGGGAGGAGGCGAGGGGAGGCGGAGGGGAGCCGTCGGCGAGCCGGGCAGCAGCAGGGGATCCTCCCTCCTCAGCCGCCCGCTCGTGGATCGCCTGGCACCACCAGAGGGCCCAGGACCAGCCCATGGGCAGGGCTCGCATCCGAGGGGTGACCCAGGTCCCCGGGGACACCCGGACGCCCTGGACATTAGAGATGCCCGCCCACGAGGCCCGAATTTTACGCAGCCCGAAAAACTGGCGGAGCCCCTCCGGGAGCTCCATGTGATAGAATGCGTCTTTTATATCGACCTGGCCGATATACACGGGCTGACCGAAAGATTCCTCGTCATGCACCTGGGCGAGGGCATCGCCAGACACTAAGCTGACAGGGGCGGGCGGCTCGAAATGCTGATTAGACCGTCGACAGTCGACGACTAGGCGCTGCTTGCCGCCCCCCTTCTTTACAAAGAAGCAATCCACCACCTCGGTAGCTCGCTCGAGCGTCAACTCGACTACGCCAGCCTCGACCAATCGCTGAATGAATTCGCCGTACAGAGAGGGGGAGTGGAGGCGAGGGTCACCGTAGGGCCGAAGGGGGCCCGAGTCCTTCAATTTCGTTCGAGCCACGTCGATGGGCAAAACTTGCGACTCAGCAAAGCGTGCAACAGTGCTTTCCCCGCCGGATCCCCAGAGCCGAGCGAGCGGAGTCGGGACAGACCCAGCTGCCGGGAGGGACACGCGGGAGGCTTCATAGCCCACGGGGCCCCCCCCTGCGTCGTAGGGGAGGCCGAGGCGCAGCGCCTGGAGGGCTGCCGCCTGCGAAAGATCATCCGGGGGAGGCCCCAGGAAAGAGACAGAGGATTCAACATGCTCGAGCATATGCTGCTGCCCGAGGCTCAGATCAGCAGGTACAGGTACCCCATCACGGCGGCCGTATATCGTGTTGAGACCCTCCAAGCACCGAAGAACGTCGGCGTGACGACGCTGCCGACGGCCGACTCTCTGCCGGCAACCTCGCGAGAGCCCAGGTGCAGGTGGCCCCGACGAGGTGAGCAGCTCCGTGGGGAACGGCAGAAGATCCCTTCCCACGTTCCTGCCAAAATCTCCCGGCGGCGCGACGGCCTGCCGAGCATCCCCAGTCATGTTGGGATCCCCCCCACCAGACCTGAGGGACGTCTGGGGGGGGCGGTCGAGCATCACCCCTGGTCCTTCCCCTGGCCCTGCCTCCGCCGGCCCAGCGACTCCCGGGCCTCGCGCGCCTTCAGGAGGCTCTTGGCCAGCGAGGCGTCGCGCTCCAGCTCCTGCTCGGCGCTCTCGAGGAGCGCGGGCGACACCATGAGCCTCGACTCGGCCCGGGCGGTGGCGCCGAAGGCGGCCTGCTCGTCGGCGGTGAGCCTTCCCCCGGAAGCGCCCGCCGTCCTCTCGCGCAACTTGTCGCTGTAGCAATACTCGATCGTCTGGAGCCGGCGGAACATCATCTCCACCGATAGGATGTTGGACGCGTCCACCTGATCATGCTGGAGCAACGCCTTCAAGTAGCTGATCACGCTGGCGTACTCCTCCATGCCCCACTGGGTGTCCTGCAGGCCGCACAGCTTCTTGAAGTGCTCGAAGTGGGACTCGAGCGAGCGCCCCTCGCCCGCAAGGTGCTCGAGGCACCACATGGTCGTCCTCGGCGCGATGAAGTCGGGGAGGTGCTCCTGGCGGCAGCTCTCTACGAGGTTCTCGAGCGTCCGGAAGGGCCTGCCAGCGCGATCGAAGCGGACCGGCAGCAGGCGGCAGTCGGGCGCCACCGCCCGGTCGGCGAAGTCCGACTCGTCACCGATGGCCACCCACTCGACGAAGAGGGACGACCCGTCTGCGAGCAGGACGACTCCGCGGGCGGGAGTGCCCGCCCCAGCGAAGCCCGCTGGAGGGGTGGTCACATCGCCGTAGTGGTACCCCCTCCACTCCTGGGCGACGCGCCAGTTCCCCACAGGGGCGGGGGCGGCGTCGCCAGCGCCTCCCGCCAGCACCAGGGGTCGGGCCGCCCCGACTACGGCCGCTGCGAGCGCTGCTCCCGCGGGCGCCGGCGCACCGCCCGCCTCCCCGCCGCCCGCGGCCGGCACAGCCCCCGCGGCCGCACCTCCTCGGCGCATCACCCCGCCCGGCAGGGGCGCGGGTGCCGGGGCGACGGGCGCCGCGGCGGGCGGCGGGCCCCCCGCTGGCACGACGACCCAACCCCCGCCCGGCGGCCCGGCGGCGGGGGCCACCGCGGCAGGGGCGGGCCCGACGGCGGCAGCCGGCGCCCCCGGCGCAGCCCAGGGCCACGCCTCGAAGACGGGCGCCGGCACGGCCACGCCCGGGTGGCGCCGAGCAAAGCAGCGCCGAGCCTCGGCCTGGGCGTCGGGGAGCCAGGCCGCCACCTCCGCCGCGGTCGGGGCGTTCGCGAAGCGGTAGGCCCGCACGACGCCCGGTGGCCTGGGGGCCAGGGCGGGCGCCCACCTCACCGCGCTGATGTCAGCCGACGTCCCGTCCACCACCTCGCACTGCACCTGGTGGTCCGGCGACACCAAGATCGCGTCACTCGGACAGGACACCACCCGCCCCAAGTTCCAGCGCTGGTGCCACAGGGGCGCCCCCGGGACTGCATACAGGAGGTGCGCCACCTGGCCCACTCCGTCCAGCGCGGGCACGGCGCCGGCGGCAGCAGCAGCCATCGCTCCACCTCCCAAGGTCGCCGAGCGCGATGCCGATCACGAGCGACGCCACGGTCGCCCCCCAGGCCGCGGCCACCGTCGGGGCCGCGGGCGCCGCGGGGGCGCGAGCCCGCTCCCCCAGACTCTCATTTTCTCTTCTTTTTTAAACATGTCTAAAAATTAGAGATGGGTCTCTAAAATTTAGAGATCTCTAAAATTGGGAGGTTGTTCAGGTTTGATCATGTTTGTTTTCGCTCAGATAAGGAATAAGGTTTGCTCATGTTTGTTTTCGCTCAATGGCAATATCATATCCAACGTGTTGCGCGTCTACGCATTTAAATACGCGCGTGAATGTGTCAAGCGTGTATAGGCACATCTATGCATATGCATACACATATGATTTGGTAGAATATTCTAAACGTACCATATCTTACCTAGCCTATCAAAAAATATGCATCTTGTCTTACCATATGACTATATATATATGTGTCATGTGTTCTTTTCTTTATCTTATGTATATTATTAGATCTTATCATATCTCATTTTATTGTTTATGTTATGGAACATATCGTATCTTCTTACTTCGCATCTTATTTCATCTTACAGAATCGAATATTATATTATACGTATGATCGACTCTATCTTGCATTATTTGATCCCATATCATCGTTTCTTATTTACCTTATATGATATACACTATCCTGCCTTATTCTATATATAAGCTTATCGTATACCATGTTATCTCATCCATTTTTCTAATCTGGTCTTATGCATTATATCTTTCTTATCGAATCTTATTTAATCGCTTCGCTCATTCCGCCGGCCCATATTGTCGCACCGTTGTGGGTTAGCCGAGTTTTGGGGCCTCTTGGGGGCCGTTTTGGGGCCTCGTGGGGCCTCTTTGGGGCCTCTTGGGCGCCTCTTGGGGCGTCTTGGGGGCCTCTTGGGGGCCTCTTGGGGCCTTTTTGGGGCCTCCTGGGCGCCTTCTGGGGCGGAGGGCTCGATTTTTCAGTTCTCGGTTCCCCTCTTGAGCCCCTCTTGGGCCCGTCTTGGGACTCTTTGTTTTTTTTCTCACGCGCTCCCAAGCCGAACGCCGTATTCAAGCGACCGCCCTCCACGCTAGATCTCGACGTCCATCTTGAGCCTGCGGCGCAGCATGCGCTTGTCCCTCCCACCAGCGCGAAGCCAACGATCATAAGCGACCTGCTCGACGTCTTCTGGGTCGGTCGACTCTTTCAGCTTCTTGATGCGCTCTGCCTTGCGCTTGCCGCCGCTCTTTTTCTTTTTTGTCTGCTGCACTGCGCTGCTGCTGGGCTTGTGGTCGTCGTGCTCGATGTGCTGCGCGCTGCCGTTGGAGTTGTGGTCGACGTGCTCGATGTGCTGCGCGTTGCCGCTGGACTTCTGTTCGACGTGCAGGATGTGCTGCGCGCTGCTGCTAGAAGTATTCATGAGCTCCCTGCCTTGCCTCAATATCCGATTACCTTGTTCAAGCAACAATGATACTTGAGCTTTCCTCGCCATGCGTTGGATCATCTCGCGCTTTGAAGCTACATCCTTTGTCTTGAGAAATTTGTGGCGGACCTCTATGGGAGAAAGCATGACTACACTGAAGCTCGAGCCTTAATGGTTACGGAAGCCAGGCAAATACGTGCATGCATTTATACATGTGCGTGTGGGGAATAAGATAAGATAGACCAGATACAACAAGTTACATTAAAATGATATACGGTATGATAGGATCATATAAGATAATATCACAAAGATGCGATAAAGTCACGCCAAGATGGGTCAAGATGATATAACATACGAATGATAAGAACTCATAGTGTAGATGTGCTTCACAGTCGTGCTGCGCACCATCCTGCTGGGGGCTCCCTGGCTAGGCTCCAAGAGGGGCCCAGAAAAGTGTTGCGAAATTGACGGGGGACCAGAAGGCGGGAAGCCCTGATATGTGTATGTGCGTTATTGTTATTTATATATATATATATATATATATATATAAAGCCACCAAATCCCAAAGCGTCAGACCAGCAGCAGGGGAAGATGGGTCGGGGGTCCAGGAACCCAAAAAGGGGCCCAAAAACGGCCCCCAGAAAAATCCAGAAAAATCTGGGGACCCTTCTGGGGCTTATTTTTGGGGGTATCTCGCCTCTCCATCCTCCTTCCCCCCACCGACCAAACTCTCTGGGCGTTAGTGTTATATGTTTTTGTTGTTCGGCCCGCGGGTCTGGGAGTGGCTCTGGAGTTCGAGCGCGCTAGCCTGCTGAGCACAATGCCACCAGGCGTTCTAGTGCTGCGTCCTTCGTCGCTGGCAGCGTCTTGGCCTCAATCTCGTCCTTGATGATGCGCATGAATTCGTCGAACTTCTCCGAGCGGCTTGCCCTGCAGCCTATGAGGTATTTTCCGTTCATCATGAGGTAAGCTTCTCGCTTCTCGATCGGCTTCGACCTCGTTACCTTGTGGATCTTCATCTCCTTGTTCGGCTCTGCGGCTGGCACCTCTGCGGCTGGAGGGGGTGCCGCCTCTGCGGCTGGCGCCTGCGGCGCTGCCTCTGCGGGGCTCTTGGTCTTGAGTCGTTTTCTGCTACTGGTTGCTCCGCTGTTCTGCTGACGGTGGGCCTTGGCCTTCTCTTTCTCTTGTTCTTTTTCAGCTTTGGACTGTTTCAGCGCCTGCTTCACCGCGCCTCTCTGCGCAGGGACGAACTCCTTCAACTGCTTCGCCGCTGCGGCCGTGTCGCTATCCTCGTCGTCGGGAGAGTCCGCGTTCACCACTGTCGGCACGTAGCAAGCAGGGCATCGACAGGTGACTGAGCAAACCTGCACACTCGACGATGACGTATCGCTTGGCCTCTCGACCAATGGCCTCTGCATCTGATCATCTTGCTGTTGCTGGACCTGTGGCGCCCTAACTGGTGCCGACTGGGGCCGCGGTCCTCCCGATCCAGAGGGAATGTGATCGATCATGTCCATGAGCTCCTTGACCTTAGGCTTCACGTACTGGGTCGTGCTTTTGCTGAGGTCGCGAACGTGCCTACATACTGTGCACGCGCGGTTGCTGACGGCGTCGAGCCAGAGATCCACTCTTCCTCTGTACTCGTTCTTGCTGTGCTCCGTCATGATCCCATGCTCGTCCTGCAACCGTGACCAAGTCAACCTGACCGCTTGTTTTATTGGCAACCCTTTGGGGGCGACGCCCAACACTGGCTTGAGTATGGGATAATGCTCCTCGAGGGCATCTCGATCAGCTGCCTGACTCCGCTTTCGTTTCCCATAGTGCAAGAAGTCGAAGTCGCAAGGCGGCTTCTTCAGTCTAGCCACAGGTGCCAGGGCTGCCACAAGTACATCTGGGTCAAAGCGGTCACACGTAGAGCCCTCTTGGCGACCTACCATAAGCGCGAACTCAACAGATCAGAACCATCGCTCCACAGCCGAGATGGCTACGGTCGGCAACAGCAAAGTTTATAGGCGTTGCTTTTCATCTGTATGTGGTGTAAAATGGTGTTTTCTTTATTGATTGTCTTGCTTTTCTTTATATGTTTCGTTTGTATTGTCATTTGTATGTTCTTTTTTCGTTTTATTGCGTTCGTGTTTATTGGTCACGCTTATCTAGTCAGCCCGAAGGCCGACCAGAATGCGAAGACCATTCTAGTCAGCCCGGAGGCCGACCAGAAGGCCGATACTTGGTCTGGTCGTCGCCCTCTCCAGGGGGGGGGGGGAGATAATGAAATAAGGAACAAAATTCCCTGGGGGTTGGGAGCCCGAAGACAAACGGATTAGGCAAACGTCCAGCCTGCGTGCGACGGCCATCTTGGGATATCGTTGTTTGCCACCCTACGCGCAAACAAATGGAATGCTGACGTCCTCCCCGATGGACTCAGCTGTCGGCCGTCTTGCTGGCCTCGGCGTCAGCGGTCTTGGGGGCCATCTGCTTCTCGACCGACGCCATGACGTTCAACTTCTTGTTGAGATTTTTCTTCACATCGTCGAGCTCCCTCGCAATGGACTCGCAATTAGAAAGGTCAGCCTGCGCGATCGGCTCATCTGAGGCCATTGCTGACTCCAAGAACTTCGTCAACTTCTTGTCGTGCGCCTGCATCTTCTTCCACATGGCCAACGATTCGCTGTAGAGCTCCGCGACGTACCTGAGGGAGGTGAACAAAGACACATGTTGCGGGCATGCCAAAGAAACAGTGCAAAATAAAAAGAAAGATATAACGTCAATGATGATCAAGACATTTCAAAGAGTTTTCAAGATTTTCAAAACTTTCAAAGATTTTCAAAGATTTTCAAAGATGTTCAAAGATTTTCAAAGATTTTCAAAGATTTTCAAAGATTTTCAAAGATTTTGTCATCATAAATCATGTTGACAATCTTTGAAAATCTTTGAACATCTTTGAAAATCTCTGAACATCTCTGACACTCTTTGAAAATATATTCGTTGTTTGCTGTTGTGTCTTCCGATGGTTCCATAATTTCCACCGCCACCGATGGTTCCACAATTTCTCTGCGTGGCCCCACTTGGAACCCTTCCATCGGATGTACTTTCATCACATTGGGTCCAAAGGTACCTGTTGTCCTTGTACTTGCCCAGCCGCATCTTGATGCCGATTGAGGCGTTCTGGTGGGCGTTGTGGGTCTTGCGGATGACCGACATCGACTTCTTGTTATTTTCGTCCCTCTCTGGATCGCCGTCGTCCTCCTCTGGCGGAACAGCGTCGGTAGAGCGCGTCGCGCCTGTCTCTATAGACGTCAGCGTAGACTCCACCTCCGAAACTTTCTTGTATTCCAGCCTCTCGTGCTCTGGAAGGGACTTGGTGCTCTCAGCCTCCGCATCGAGCTTGCTGTGCGGCCTCGTGATGACCGTCTTCTGCTGGATCTGCACATTCACCAACGCTTCGCCGTCGAGGTCAGTGATCTGCTTCCAGCTCATCCACGTTCCCGTCTCGCTGTTGGTGTCGACCTTGGCCACCTTCTCGAACCTGCGAAAGTATTCGGACTCGAAGTTGCCTGCAATCACTTCCT